AGCTCTCTGGGCAGCCTGTTCCAATGCTTGACCACCCTTTCAGTAAAGAAATTTTTCCTAATATCCACTCTAAATCTCCCCTGATGCAACTTGAGGCCATTTCCTCTCATCCTATCGCTAACTGCTTGGGAGAAGAGACCAACACCCACCTCGCTACAACCTCCTGTCAGGGAGTTGTAGAGAGCGATAAGGTCTCCCCTCAGCCTCCTCTTCTCCAGACTAAACAACCCCAGTTCCCTCAGCCGCTCCTCATAAGGCCTGTGCTCCAGACCCTTCACCAGCTTCGTTGCCCTTCTCTGGACACGCTCCAGCACCTCAATGTCTTTCTTGTACTGAGGGGCCCAAAACTGGACACAGTATTCCAGGTGCGGCCTCACCAGCGCTGAGTACTTCCCTGCTCCTGCTGGCCACACCATTCCTGATACAAGCCAGGATGCTGTTGGCCTTCTTGGCCACTTGGGCACACTGCTGGCTCATGTTCCTCCAGCTGTCAACCATGTGGGATCCCAACCAGGCAGGGTGCTGAGCTGGGCATGACCTCAGCTCCTCATGCTTGCCAGCCAGCATCCTAGAGCTACTGTAAACCTGAATGCGTGAACCAAACTGGGCACCGTCATAGAAACACCCCAAATAAATTGTCAGCCATGGGGCACGCTTCCCTAGGAACATCCAAATAAAGTTGTTGCGTCAAGAGGGCTTTGGAAGGTACCCAATTTATCATTTTAAGTCCAGTCGCGTTCAGTACTCTGAACTATCACGATTACAGATGTACAAATAACGTAGGCACCTTTTGTCTAGTCGTGCTGGATGAACTACCACGGCCACACTTAAAGCGTCTGGTTGCGTTCAATGACCACTATCATGGCCAGACCAATAAATCAAAGCAATTTATTAAAGCAACAGACACACAGGTTCTTTGGATTACTGGTGATAAATTCACCGACTGCAAGGCACATGCAAATACCAAAGCTTTGGATAACACAGATGCATCCAAAGACATAAAAGCGACTCTACAGAGGTTTCTAAATTTCCCGGGGAGGCACTTGGTATAACCAAGTGTTAGATTCTTACCCAAAGGTGTCCTGATGGGGGGGAAGAGAGGCTCAGCCTGTCAACTGATCCCAGAGGTCAGAGTAGCACGCAATGGTTATCTTCCCTAACATCCCCTCTCTCTTAGGCTAATTTATAGTATTTTTTACCTTTCAGGTGGAGCTTGAGGGACTCTAGTCATACATGCTTTGTTATGATTGGTGTAAAACTTTCTTGCTTTGTTTTAAAGGTATAGGCTTGGAAAAATTCAAAGTGCAGGCTCAGTGAGGAGTAGTCTCACCTTAGAGGTGGGCAGTTTTTGGGATGGAGGTGTGTTTTGGTATTATAATGATATTATAATGAGCAAAGTTTACCAAAAGGACAGCATTTTGTCAAAATCATGACAGTTTGTTGGCTCAGGATAGCAATTATGCAGCTTATTGGTGCCGTGGTACTCCTCCGAGTTCCCTTATGGCAGAGCTTGGCTGTGATGTCTCCACACCACTCCACCCCCTGGGCAACTCCTCTCAGAGCCAGCACACCAGGCTCCCCTGGGGTTGCCAACATCCAAGGTTGCAGGCTTAGGGAACTCCCTGTGGGATAGATTCCAGCTGCATTCCACCTGGAAAGCTTCTTCAATGCTGCGCCTTTCTTGAAATCATAAATCTAAGTCTGATGTCTAAGTCACCTCCAGCAATTACTCCACAATAGTTGGTCAGTTTTTCTCTGTAACTCTTCTCTTTCCCCTTCACCGAGTCTCTTTTTGTCTGTATTTTGTTTGTATTTCATATCCTACTTTATTTCTCCACTGGCTTCTCTCCTCATTTTTCTTTCCCTTTTCTGTCAAAAAAACCTCACCAAACCCCAAACTTCAAACCTATATTATCTATTCATATCAGACATAATTATCAGTCATTCAAATATTGTTAGGATTGGGCCCATAGCCAATTTGCATTACAAGAATTTCTTTTCAATTTTTTATTTTTATCTTTTATATTATATTTGAGTATGTCTTAAAGCACCACTTACCAAGCACTGAGGAGTGGGTCAAGTATGGCAACCCCAATCCATTTGGGATCAACAACCCATTCCCTAAAAATGGGCATCTCTGCCCTTTCAAAGAATTGAGCAGACCTTGTGCTTTCTTCTCAAAGACACGCAGCAGAGAAGGAGGAAGAGGCCCGCTCCCACCTCCTCCTCCTTTTACGCTCTAACCTGATGGTCAGCACACTTGCCCAGAAAGGGGGATCCCAGCTCTGAGTCCCCAAAAAAACACCGCCACAAAACCTGCCAGCAGGCCTTAGGAGTGTGTTTGTTCTGGGCATGCAGAGAAACGACAGTGTCTCTGCTCTGCCAAGGGCCTGAAATGGAAACCCAGAAGCGCCATTATAACACGTTATAACCTCAGGGACATCCTGTAAACACCCATGTATCCTGAAGCATGCTGGGGCACTTACCCTGTGCTAAGTCTGGTTTACTGAAGGGAAGCCACAGCCACCTTTTCTGCCTCTGAAGTAAAAAAAATGGATAGCTGCGCTTTGAGGGGTCACCAGTCCTTATGGTGAGTATTTGGACGCACAGAGGGTGCCCCGTACCCATGTCCCAGGGCCCTGAGGTGGAGGAAGACTCAGCCTCACTCAGCCTGGCCTAAACACTCATCCTTGCGGGAAAAGTGGCTGTCTGAGTGATAGATGGAGCCACAAATATAGATGATGTGAGAACTTTAATTCAGAAAGTAACAGGCTACGGAGCCTTCTGGCAGGGCAGCATGTGAGCTAAAGTTTTTGGGATCACAATTTTGGAGTCTTTTGCAGGCGCTCCAAAGTCTTTTGGCTCTGACCCACAGTTAGTACCTGGCATGCAGAACTGAAGGCTCAGCTGTCGATGCCAGTTTTGCTGTACGAATGTTTTGTCAGAGCCCGGGCTTTCAGGAGGACCTGCTGGTTTAATAGTCATCTTCTGTGACTGAAACACCATTCACACCCATGGCTCTTGCATGTTGCTGGTTGGAACCTATTTTGAACACCCGAAAGCAAACACAGAAAGAGCATGAGCAGAGAGCGTGCAGTCATTTTTTAAAAGGTGCTCAAAAATACTCATTTGCATTAGGTGAGGTTTTTGCCCAAGTGAACTGAGAGGAACTAGCCAAGGACCCTTAGCACCAGAACCCCTCTGTTCCCACAGTAAACCCTGAGCCCCATCTGGGGCAGAGGGTTACCAGAAGAGGGGGCAGAAGCCCAAATCTTAGGAGCATCCCCATCACATCACTTGGTGGGGCTCAGACACAATATGAACGAAGTGTAACTCTCTCTGCCCAGGACACACATAAAGCAATACACAGTTTCCCCCTCCCACCCAACTAAAAATACATCGTATTTATAAAGCACATTTCCCCTGTGTACTTTTTTTAACCAGTCTTCAGCAGGAAAGAGAGGACTGTTTTTACACACGGTGTACAAATGGAAATACTCTAGCCAGAGTGGGTGAGAGCTGGCAGGATCACAGCGAGACTGAAATATAGCTGTGGCTCAGCCCTTGGCAACAGCCTGGCTTCCCACCCGCCCAGAGAGTTTGCTTCTGGGCATCTGTAACGTATTTCTTCCTTTTCCCCCAATCAGAGATTAGAAGAAAGATGAACCACATGTGAGAATGACTCATTAATTGTCCAGGTGACCCGCTGATGTGGAGAAAAAATTGCTAATAAAAAGGTTCTGCCTCAGGGGTAGAGAGAAATGATGTTACATGGGTTGTTCACCTTTGAGCACAGGCTGTAGCAAAGCACAGACTAGACCAAAATAAGAATTTTTGAAGGTAATAGGATATATTTTTCATTTATACTACATAGTGAAAGGTTTGGGGTTATTGTGGACTTTATGTTATTTTGTAAGTTACCTGCATTTATAGCACAATGTGATTGTAATGTGAGTAATCAGAATATGAAAGTTATTGTCTGATAATAGGGATAAGGAGTTATGGCTTGGTTTGCTTGGATTTTATAATGGGCTGAGTTGGGGGTTTTTTTGTTCCTCCCTCCAACTTCTTACTCTGATTTTTCTTAAATGTTTAAATCTCTCTATAAAACATACACAAAAACCCCATGTGTTAATCTAGTGATAGATGTTCTTGTATATAGCAAACAGCTGTGCTGGAAGCTAAGTGTTCTATTTATTCTTAGATCAGAAATGTTATTTAAATGAGTATTTTTGCTACTCCAATTGTAAGAGTACTTTAACTGGACTGAATTTCCTTAATCTTGAATAAATAGGTAGTAATTTCTATTCTCCAGTCTGCTTTGTGCTGTCCAAGTCAATTCTTCCTTTTCCTGATGCAGGACACCTCTAGTATTCTCATAGGAGCCACAGATTATCCCTTGGGTAATTAGTTTAGAACTTTGTATGAAAACCTCTTGGAGTATTTTGGGTATGAGATGATGTGGGCTGCAGGAATCTTTCAATTGTTAGATTTAAAATGAAAGAAAAATCTAATTTGATAATGGAAGAAGTTAGAATACAGATTCTTCTTGGAAGAAGAGGCAGGCTTGGCCTCAAGTTAGCTTTGACATAATGGTTATGGTGTTTAAGAAAATCTTATTAAAGAAGACCCACTGTGCCTCAATCCCAAATACATTCCAAGCAGCAGGGAAAAGCCTCTCTTCTTTTGAGCTCTTCGTATCTACTTCAATAAGACTTTCCTGACAGGTTGGCAGACCACTCTGGTTTTACAATGAGGCCTCCCTCCTAAAAGGTGGGCTGTAAAAAAAGCAGTAGTAGTTAAAATCTTAGTTCTGCTGTTAATGAACTGTGGTGTGTGGCGCTCTCTTCCCTCAAGAAAAGAACAAGCTTTCTTCTTGATGTGGAAGAGCAGAAAGTGTAACTCACCTTGCTGTCATCTCCTCTTGCTATCGGTTAGCTGTAGCCCAAGCACCTGGGTAATTTGAAGATCTCCAAGCCTTTGTCTCCTCACCCGTCAGAATGTCTGGACGTGGAAAGAAACATGCAGTGGCTGGCAAACCTGGAGCTGCACAGAAGAAAACCAAGTCAGCCAAGGCTGGTCTGCAGTTCCCCGTGGGTCGTGTCTACAGGCTCCTTAAAAGAGGGAACTATGCTGACAGGATCGGTCCTGGCGCTGCCATCTACCTGGCTGCGGTGCTGGAGTACCTGAGCGCGGAGATCCTGGAGCTGGCAGGGAATGCTGCACGGGAAAACAAGAAAGCCAGGATCCTGCCCAGGCACATCCAGCTGGCTGTGAGAAATGATGAAGAGCTGAACAAGCTCTTCTCCTGTGTGACCATCGCTCAAGGAGGGGTTATGCCAAATATCCTTTCCCAGCTCCTTCCCAAGAGAACTGCTCCTTCTCAGGAGCATGGTAGCCGTTGAAACTTGCTTTTCAGGGTCTGGTCTGTGCAGTCACAGATGATGGAACTCAGTAGCACTAATTTGTATGTGTTTGCTGCTTTGTCAATTATTTTTCCTGCTAATTTTAATGCATTTTTAAAGCTTGTAATAAAGTTCCTAGAATGCAACTCCATTCTCGTGTTTTCTTTTCTCAGCTCCCCTTCCAGGGATGGAAGAACACAGAAAATGTCAAAAAGCCTAGCATACCACCCAAATAACTTTTTAAAAAGTTAAGTACATGTTTACTTTTGAAAACACTTTACAGGTAACTGTTGTGGAGCAGGCAGAGGAGTCACGACACACACCACCTTTCATGTGAACTTTTCTTCTTTCACAGATTCATAGTGCAATTAGTTTGGTGCCTCAGAGGTTGTTTAACTCGGCTTTAGAAGTTAGTAACACTATGCTTTAAAGTCTTAATGGTTGTAAAGAACAACTACCTCTCTTTAAGAATGCTCCAACATGACACTAAACCTCTATCTCCTCCATCTTGTTGTAACAACCATAGGTAGTTTACTTAAAATCTGCTATAGTATTTGTGCTGTTGGTAGAGATGACGGTCTTGCTTCTGTCTGTCAGTGCAGAAAACCAAAAGTCTCCATATCTGAACAAGCCCTCAGGCCTTTGCTGGCCAAGTCACTGAAAGTCTTCCCCTGGGAAAGTGCCCAGGGTTTCTCTGTTCATAGTGGGTCCTGAGGCTTGCTGTTGAACTGGAAACCAGGGATCTGCTGCAGCTGCTTTAGGAGCAGTCTGCCCCTGAGGCAGTATCTGGCAGATTCCATAGCATCTCACACAGAGAAGAGCTGGTTAGGACCAGCTTCCTAAACTGTAGCTGGAGCATGAGCTTTTTATTTGAACAAGATCTGCCTGTCCTGTTGAGTTTGACCTAGCTCCTTTGCCCCCTCAAGGCACAAGGGTGTCAAAGCCTACTGGCCAGGTTTTACGATGCTGACAGACGTCAGAGCTGTATGCAGCTGAGTTAATGACTCACTCCAAGCTGTGCTTGCGCAGACATGGGAAAGAGGATACCTGACTGAGCAGACACTGTGATTTCAGGGTGGTGGGCAGCTGGAACAGTCATTGTATGCTGTCTGGTTTTCAAGAGCAATTTGATGAGCTCTTGGTTTCCCTGCAATTAACCCAGTGAAGTGAGAAAAAGTGGAGGATGCTGTAGCAATGAGAAGTAAAAAATTCTGAGAGTAGATCTTAAGCTTTGGGTGTGTAGTAAAGGTGTGCTGTATGTAACTAGCCTTGTGCTGAGTGTTTACACCTGTAAGTAGGAAAAAAAAATGCTTTAAAGGAGGTACATGAGAAATGAAGACATGAAGCTCATTTTTTTCCCTCCATTTGACCATGGCAAGGGAAAGCAGGCTTGGGAATGATTATTTCTTTGGACCAAGCAAAAATCTAAAGGCTTGCAGTAATGGTAGAAGACTCAAGCAGGGTACTAATTTTGTGCAGTTTTAAGCATGGTGCTTACAGCACCCTTTTCTAATCTGGAGAACTGTGTGTCAGTCATCATGCCTCTCCTGGATGTAAGCTGCTCCTGTGAGCCTGCTCTGCACCACACCAAACAGACCCTGCAAGGCATAGCCAGTGCTCCAGCAGCTTCTAAAAATGCCTGCCCCTGCCATTTTCTGTATGATAAAAGACACTGAGTGAGCTGTGTGGCCCTACCTCTACTTACACCCAAAGAAAGAGTTTATGGTGAAGTACTGCTCCAATTCAAAAGTCAATTTTTTAAGTATTTCTTTGATCAAGAACATACTTGTTTGCTTTCTTCTAGCCAATAGTGCAACCCATTTGTAAATTAACCACATAGCATAGTGATCTGAAAACTCACCCCTCTGGCTTCACAGTAACAGAGGGTAGGTGTCTCCTAACCCAGCTGCTCAGCAAAAATTTCTGTTGGGCCAGGGCTCAACTTTCCAGCACTCATGTATTGAAGAAAAAAATTATTCAGCTGTCGCCACTCCTTTGACCCTAGAAAGGGCATATTATGCCTTGCAACACAGCTATGCATGACTTTGGAAAAAACTGGACTGTGTGACAGATGGGGACAAGTCGTAGAAGAGAGAGAACCCAATGTCAGAGGTCCTGAGCTTTCCCAGTCTCTGCAGCATGGTCACAAAGCAGCTTGGCCGCTGCTCGCAGCAAAAAGAACAATGGTACAGTTTGATGGGTTTAATTCTTGATGACTGTGGCAAGGTGAGGTATGTCCCCTTCCAGCTGTAATAAATTAACTGCCAGTCAGAGATACTGCAGTCCTCTGAGGCAGTAAATATTAGGCTTGTTTCCAGAGGAGATCAGCTAACAAGGTGCTAAGCAACTCTGCAAGGAGTAGTGACGAATTCTCATGTTCTGAGGGACTGTACTGAGTTGCTCTTGTGTTGGGACCTTGGTTGGTTTTTTATTTTGAGTGGCTGAATCATTACTCACCCAGGTGGCATTAAACGATGCAAGAGCTGGTAATGATATGGCTACCACTGTGGAGTTTAAAAGGGGGCAGCTCTTGCCAGAAATTGTGGTTTGCGGGATTTGGGTAGTGGTATTCTTAGGAAAGAGGTTAAGTCAATAACTTTTTCAGATGGGAGTCTGTTCTTAAGAAATGACAGCATGCTTTCTTTGTGTTAGATAAGCTCCTGCATGAAATAATGGTTTTGTAAGTTCTGTGTTTGGTATAAGGCTGCTTTAAGGGGGCTTTTAATTTATTTACTTGTGTATGCTATTTTTAAAAGCTTAACTTTATAAGGCCCACAAGAATGTCCTAAAAGAACTTTTTACTGTATTTTTAAGTGCTTCAATTTGTTTTCCTTTCTCCCCACATCTGGGTAGAGCTTCTCTTTGTTTAAAAACAACTAATGATTAAAACTTGAACAATTCTATATACAAGAGCAGAATTTTCCTCTGTTTGTTTTCAAGTTCTTTGTGTTATGCATTGAAGAGCAATTGGTACTACTCAGTACCAGAGACTTTATGTGAGTAATAAGTGATGGGGCTTGTTAGAATGGATGTAACACCATACAAGAAGATGGTACTTGTGCATTTATAGTAGCCTGATGCACAGTGTGCTGAGCAGAGAAATTTCAGTGTTTGATGTAAAACAAAGCTTGTCTTGTTCCTGATTGTGGTGTGTTATCTTGCAGCAATAGGTCCCCTCACCTCTGGAAGACAAGATCCATCCAAAGTGTTTTCTAGTAGATGAAGTCCTTTTCTGGTGTTCTTTCTTCAGACAAAGGTATGAATTTCTAGCTCTATCACTTACAAGGTCATCATTGCAGAAGCTGCTTGGGTCCTTACTAGGGGTAAGTTCAATGAAGCTTCCCTGCAGGGTCTGTGAACACTTGTACCTTGAAGCCTGGTTTGCTTTACCTTTCTCCTTAACAGCAGTCTTTCTTTGATACTGGGTCAGAAGACCTTGCTCCTAAGTTCTACCTTACTCTCTTGAAAAGTGTTGGAAATCTAGCAGATGGCTGACCTGCTGCTCTGACTGAACTTGTAGATGCCTCTGCCTGGAAACTTGTCAGACTCTCCTAGAGCAGCAGCCTGACCCATCTGCTCCTTCAGACAAAAGTGTGAATAACTAGCAAACTTTCTGAGAGGGGAAAACTGACTTGTAAGGGAATTAGAAAGGCAGTGAAATGAGGAGGAAGAAAGGACTTAAATGCTCAGTTCCTGTGTCTGTTTAGGTTTTTTAATTCTTTCTCTTTTTACACTAGATTGATGTCAGAATGTCTGAACATGGGAAGAAAACCACAAAGCTCCTTCTTGTACCAAAGAAAACCAGATCAGCCAAGGCTGGTCTGCAGTTCCCCGTGGGTCGTGTCTACAGGCTCCTTAAAAGAGGGAACTATGCTGACAGGATCGGTCCTGGCGCTGCCATCTACCTGGCTGCGGTGCTGGAGTACCTGAGCGCGGAGATCCTGGAGCTGGCAGGGAATGCTGCACGGGAAAACAAGAAAGCCAGGATCCTGCCCAGGCACATCCAGCTGGCTGTGAGAAACGATGATGAGCTGAACAAGCTCTTCTCTTGCGTGACCATCGCTCAAGGAGGGGTGTTACCTAACGTTCTTCCTGAGCTTCTTCCTAAGAAGACCATCTCATTTAAACCACCCCACAAATATGTCCAGTCACAGGAGTTCTAGCTGCCACCAGGCTGCTGACCTTGTGGTGGTGTGAACGCTGGCTTTCTCAACAACAAAGGGTTTTTCATGCTGGTTGGCATTTATAGTCTAAATTTGTGTGTGTGCACTTGTGCACGTGTCTGAAAAGCTGCTAAAGACAGGGTTGCTAGTTAGGTTTCCCTAGCTATGCCCTTCAAAAGAAGAAGTTCAACAGACTACTTCTATGAATAAATAAGTGTGCAAAGGACTCATGTCCATCTTATTCCCTTCTATAAAATATTTGTTGCACCAAACAGAAGATTTTCTTTGTCAGTGCAGTTATCTAAGGAAACCTGCTCTACGGCCTTTAAAGCTTGTGTCTCCATGTGCGTGGCTGGAATCTCTTTATTCAGCATGTGTAGAAGTCTGCTTCATCTGACCACTTCAGACCTCATCATGGGCACAGTTAACTATTCAGTGTAAGTAAAGGCACCTGAGAAACTTAAATTGGGCTGCCTTATAATGATGATAAAGCTGATGAATATCTTCTTGAACATTTGGATATGGAGGTAGGGCTGTGCTATAACTTCAGAGCATCACTGCATGCACCTTGGTCCAAAGATGGTGTTGGAATTGTCCTCTGAGTTTCTACATTGATGGAGTGCAATCCAAGGAGTCTTCTACAGACATTACATAAATCTTGTCAGTGTTTGAGCCTTAAAGATCTTTTAGAAGCTTTTCTTATAAATGAATCCAAATATAACTTCTGCCTCTCTGGTACTGAGAATCTCCTTAGCTGCTTTGAGTCTTGTTCCATTAGGATCCAGATCAAGGAAACCTGTGTGTTAAAAGGCAATCTAGGAAGCAGCCTTTTGCAGGACCTTCCAAAACTCTTGTCTTCCACTTATGCAGCTTGAAAGGCTACCTAAGCACTATTAGATTTGCACTCTGGATTGCAACATATTGGTGGACACACACTAGTATTAATCTGTTTGCTGTGCTGCAGCAAATTTTGTTTAACAGCTTTACCAGCAGGATGCCACTGAAATTTAAGAGCCTTGTAACGGTGCTATTATGTGTTTGAATTATTCTATTCATAACAGAACAGGAAGGCCCTAGTGTCCACCAGCTTCAGAGATATTAATCCAGCCAGGTAAAAAGGCTATTTAGAGAACTGCCTCAAGCCTTGACCCTATCAGCCCAAGGTTTGAGAGCTTCTGTTTCCCATATCTGCCCCATAATAATCCATACTATGCTGCTGCTTTCTCTAGCATAACTCAAATATCTCCCAGTTTTCTGGCCTTCTGAGAATTGGGACCTTTTGAAGAATGGGCTGCAGAGAGCTCACCTCTTTGTATAGGCAGGCCAGGGCATTTAAATGAAGGTCAAGAAGCCAAGAATGAGGTATTGCGGGACTGCAGCCAGAGGACTTTATGTGAAACCTCTAGCATGTGTGTAAGCTGCAAACACCTACCAGAGGCCATGCTATGAGAACGCAAAGGGAGGAGAGTGTTGGTATCAGGTCAGTCTCAGTAAAACTGGCTGCTGTGGTCACTGGAGATAAGTGATTTATAGTGTGGATAGTGGACAAAT